CAAATATGTAGGGGAAACCATGCTTTGTAGCCCCGTAATCCCCGTATGTGGAGATTTCCTCCAGACTTCTGTGGCTATGTCTGTGTGTGTTTCTATTGTTTGCCTCTACGTATGCATAGTTCCGTCCCCTTTCTGTACTTAGTCGAACCATCTCAAAACATTTGAACACATAAAACAAGTCCTAAACACGCCTTGGCTTGCACGTACTCTAGTTTTTGTTTGCGGCTATTTTTGAAGGCAGATGACGTCATATACCCTTCTGACCATCCAACTTGTCACAATCCAACCTGTCAACCTAAACACGCACACTTCACAAGAGTCTATTGCTTGAATTTTATTCTGAAAAATATTAGCCAGTTGGGATGATTATTCCCAATATATGGAAAAATAAAAAAATGTATAAAACATGTTCCAAACCACCAACCAGTTGTGTATGTCCTCTTTTAATGCCCGATGATGGTCTCATAATAAGCCCATACGATCTGTCTGAGTTCATCCAAACGCCCTGTTTCCTCAGTGACTGGGCGGATGTGGCCTCCACCTCCTTGTCCTTGACGATACGAAGGATGACCCTGGCCTGGGCCTCTTCCTGGGAGCAATCTTCCAACAAGTGAAGGTGGGTACATCATTCACGTCAGCGTATTGGCCCAGGGATCAAGCGTGTTCAAATAAAGACCACTGGAGATCTCAAGATTGTGATCTAAATGATTCAGGATAAGCCGGATTGATGCTGATTGCTAACAAGAACTTCAGATTCAGCTGATTGTCACATCAACTAATCTCTCTCTCTATATATATATAACTACGATGCCCCCCTAACAAGTTTCGCGGCCAGTTGGAAGCATCCATACTGGCGCCAAACAACGACCACCAGCACCTGTGATGCAGCCGCAGTCTCCGTCTTCTGCTTGGTCCGCAAAGGGAAGATGATGCACGAGCCATCTGCGATGGGCGTGTCAACGTCCTCAAGGCTGGGTTGCTGCCTCCAACTAAATGGATGAAACATGATGAAACATGATGAAAGATTAAAAAAGGCCACCATGCAGAAACTATTTGAACTGCTTTCTGTGTTTCACAGTCTTTTCGTGGATCCAATTTGGTAGGAGCTGGTCCTTCTTGAGCTTGCCGTGCTTGCTAGGGGTCGATGTTGGATCCTCACACCAACATGGCAGTGGCTAACTCCCATGGCAGTAACTAAATAATGTCTGATTCTGGTGGGCTTCATTGATCCTTTTTAGCTCATGTATGTTCATGTCCGATCTTACTGAAGGGTAACCAAGAGGGTCAGTCATGCGTCATCACCTTGCGCACGCCGACTACAAAATGACAAAATGTTCGGATGCCTCCGGCATGATTCTAACGGCTTCCCTACTTACCCAATGGTTAGTTGATAGGGGTTCCATTAATGGATTATGATCTTCCTTATTGTAGTGGTTACAGTAGTATATATAATCCCCGAATAAATCATCAACCAACCATTTATCAGCTATGGCAATGCTATGGCTATATCCACTTATATCCCCATATTTGGCTGGCTAAATCCATACTGAATGACTATAATGTGGGTAAAACAATGCCATAAACCACCCATCTGGGAATGGTAAGTTTATACCACCTATCAAAACGGTGCTGACTGGGGGATGGTAAACATGACATTGTTTTACTCAATGGATTGGTTTAAGGGAAAATTTACAGGAAACCATAGATTTTCCCATTAAATATGGGGCTTTCCTGTAAATTTTCCCTTAATCCAATCCATTGATTTACCCACATTAATCAAACCAACCGCTGTGTTGAACACTCTTTGCGGCTCCTGGAGTCCAGTGCCGTTGCTGCTGACGTCGCGCACCCGCAAGTCGTTGGCTCCCCTGGGTTTGAGAGAGCAGCTACAGTAGCTGGTTGAAACATGGCAAAATATATACGAAAATAAACATAGTAGCCCACACAATGCTAGAAGCGTGACCATTGTTATTAGATGTTATTAGATTATCATGTTCGACTATGTCTAGTAATTCAATAGGATCTCACTTTCTTATCTTTTAGGGGATGACTACTTGAAACTCATCACATGGGGGGTTGAGGCACAACAAATGCACAAGGACACAATTTGTTTGAAACAGTCGGAGATATGATCTCTGGCAGGGAAACACAAGACAGTTGAATGGGGGGAAATTAACAGGAAAAATTGTGGATAAATCGGATGCAATTTATGAATATTTATGATAGAATGACATGAACCCCACAAACCATCACAAATTGTGGTTTATAATTTAATGTACTCCTGTTTCGGATGGTGTAAAATATGGCCCAACAAGGTTGGCTAGAACCAAAAAGTAGACAAGTAAAACTCTACTTAAATAACTAGTAGAAAGGCAAATTACTCTTCCATCTTTTTGGGCTAACTAGTAGAAACGTTTGTTGAACGCCGATTTTCTAGTCTATCTGCATCAGGTCTATCGTTTTCTTATCCAGTACCCTCTGGTAAACTAACATAACTATGGAAAATCACCATGTTTCATGGGTAAATCAACTATGAATGGCCATTTTCAATAGCTATGTTAAATTACCAGAGGGTAGTAGTGATTGAAACTGGTGAGCACGGCTGATTTAGACAAGCAGCACAAGTCTGAGCTCCACGTGCGTGTTGGAAGCGCCAATGCATACCACCTGGTCCACTTCTCCACACTGTGACGCCAGAAGCCATGAAACATCATGTTCTAAAAGTGCGTGAGCATGTGCATTCCTCAGTAAATCTGGCTGAATTGCAATCAATGAATCGATCAATCAATCATATCAATCAGTCAATCAATCAAGCAGTCAATCAAGCAGTCAATCAATCATTCAATCAATCAATCAATCAACAATATGAAGCAAGGAAATTTGGGGAGGTTCGTGAGGTCGTGACAACAATCTGCTCTGTCCAATGGGCATGTTGCAAGGGCCAAATTAGATGCCAGAAAATACCCCCTGTGCAACTTGGTCAGTAACTAGGCTAAGACTTGCATTCATCGTGGATGTATCTATGTATACATATATATATCTATCTATCTATCTATATCTATATATATATATATGTATATCTATATATATATATATATCTATATATATACATATATATGAATATAATATATATATATCTCTCTCTCTCTCTCCCTCTCTCTCTCTCTCTCTCCCTCTCTCTCTCTCTGCTCCCTCTCTCCCTCTCTCCCTCTCTCCCTCTCTCCCTCCTCTCTCCTCTCTCTCCCTCTCCCTCTCCTCCCTCTCCCTCTCCTCCTCCCTCTCTCCTCCCTCTCTCCCTCTCTCCCTCTCTTCTCCCTCTCCCTCCCTCTTTCCCTCTCCCTCTCCCTCTCTCCCTCTCTCCCTCCCTCCCTCTCCCTCTCTCCCCCTCTCCCTCTCTCCCTCTCTCTCTCTCTCCCTCCCTCCCTCCCTCTCTCCCTCCCTCCCTCTTATAGATGGGATATGATATTGGGTTATACCCCCAGTTAGATTGATGAAGGGATGAAATGTATACCCCCAGTTAGTTTAATACCACCAGTTAGTTAGTTATAGACCAACTAATATATACTCTCAGTTAGTTCGTATATGTTCGTATATACCCCCCGTTAGATTAATATGCCGCATAGATGGGATGAACTACGGCTTCTGATGACCTGGAAGTTGGTTTTGGAGCTGCGGCCAATGGTTATGGCTGGGCCATCAGGCACCAGCTCCAGCTCTTTGGGAGCGTCCTGGAGGCGAAGCTGTAGACCGTGTAAACCATTTGTTACATGTATAAATGTACTTTCATCAAGAAATTAGTGTATACATACATACATGTATCTATATCTATATCTATATATATATGTATGAATATTTAAATAATCATTATATAGGTGTATATATCTAGGTACATACCGACAGAGAGAGTAAATGGAATGGATATGCAATGGCATATATAATATGTATATAAAACAATACGTAGTCATAATCATATGGCAAATACAAGCTATAAATATATATATATATAAATATCATTCAGCGTATCTTATTTTCAGATGTACTTCTTGCGAAAACATGTGCATGATGTTTCAAACATATGTACATCGTAGAATTCTATATCGTCTTATCTGCCAACAAAGGGCATAGTTACCTTACTTAGTTCATGTGCCTAATACCGGTGTAAAACAATGTCAAGAAGAAACATCAACACAAATTGCGGAAATCATGCTGTCACCCGTGGGGGCAAGGGACACACAACATCACACAACTGTCATATGAGGAGAAAAATGAGCATGAGACGAAAGCTCAACCTGCAGGGCATCCAATTCCGAATGGTCCACATCTGGGCAGTGTTCGAAACACCCCGTCATTCTACGTCAAGCAAAAACTGGTTGCTGGGAAGGAACATGCCAAGAGTTTCACAGTGACAATACCCAAGATATATCAAGATATTGGATAGAACAACCCCTTTCAATCATCAACCGACCAGAAATTTAGTGTGTTTTCTGTTTCTTGCGTGCAACCCGTCATCCAGTCCTTACCAACCTGCAAGCTAATACCTCAACATGCTGGGGTGAATCCTGATGGATCGGTGATGTAATGGGGATATATAAATATACAACTAACCATCGGGGATGTGTGTATATAATATATGAATTTATATATACATATATATATAATTCATATAATATAAAATAATATATATTATCCAATAATATGGTTAGCTAAGTTTGGTTTGTAACTAGGCTAAACAACGGGGATTGACGGTAGATATATCTATGGCATTCTATGGCTAGATACTGGTGAGTTTATATATAACATTAAATAACAACCAACTTATAACTGAGGGGAACCATCCTGCAGGATAGGTGTTTATCCTCACTTATACTCAAACATGACCAATCTATGCGGACCAAATATATTCTAATATGACCAATCTATGCGGATTTTATCAGCGAGAATTGGATATACTACTCATCACCAGGATATACATTGTAAATCATGATAATGCATAACTGGATACCCAACAATATACACATATGTATGCAAACATGGAAAGAAAATGAAAGCAATGGGATACACTCCAAAATGCCAAAATGCTTATTTAAGAAGGCAAGATTATGAAAAACCAATGGATTTGGGGGCATGCCTTTATTGGGCAAACCTGAATTCCAATAGAAAAATGCTGTTGTTCTACGGGGTTCCGCGTTGAAAAATACATTTCGACAATGGTGATCGTCTCTGGCAAAATGCATGCAACATCATGCAACTCTCTTCCATCTGTGTGTGTGACCGATGCTTGCATACGCAAGCACATACTGAGAGCCTTAACCTCAACGATGGAACCAACAACTGCAACAACCGTGCTCGCTTGTGGCCTTGTACTTGTCTTCAGCGATTCCATGATGAAACTTGATGGGGGGAACACCAAAGGTAGGTGATCAAGAAGGGGAAGCAAAGCCTCTCCGTGTAAAGGCTGGCTGTGTGTAAAAGCGTGCTGTGTGCAGAAGCTTCTGTGTGTAAATTGTTTTCTGTGTAAAGGCATCTGTGGGTAAAAGGGTCTGTGTAAAAACTGCTGTGCATAAAGACTTCTGTGCATATAGGCTTCTGTGCGGAAAAGTGTCTGTGTGTAAAAGCCGCTCTGGGTAAAGTTTCTGCATGTAAAAGTTTTGGTGTGTAAAAACTTATTTGTGCAGTCTGCGTGGCATGGGCAACCTTTTCTGTGTCAAAGTTTTCCTGTGTAAAAGTTTCTTTGTGTAAAAATTGTTCTGTGCAAAGGTTTCTCTGTGTAAAAGGTTCTGTGTGTAAAAGCGCCTGTGTGCCTTTATTTATGCGTGTAAATGCATCTTTGTGCAAAGCATCGGTGTATAAAAACTTCTGTGTTCAAAACTTATTTGCGTAAAAACCTCTGTATGTAGAGGCGTCTGCGTGTAAAAGTTTATCTGTGCGCAAACCTCTCTGTGTAAGAGTATCTGCGCATAAAAGCTTCTCTGTGTATATAAAGGTTTCTGTGCGTAACGTCGTCTGTTTGTAGAAGCGTATCGGTGCAAAATGCGTCACCACAGAAAAATCGAAAAAAACAATGAAACAAAAGAATCCAAACTCAAATTCTTGCTGTCGTTACGTTGTTGGCCACAAGGGGTCATGTTGGCTGGCTTTCGCGACAAAAAACACCACACATTTCGAGGTTTTTGGCGCCTCCCAGGCCAAAAACCACGGTACTGTTACTGTTACTGTTACTGTTACTGTTGTTGTTGTTGTTGTTACCCCTGCAGCTTTTTTCTGTCTCGTAGTGGCCGAAAATCGTCAAATAGGTGGTGTTTTTGCAACTGTTTGAGACTCTTGGAGCAAAGAACACCGTAAATACCGATATTTGTTGCGCCTCGGAAGTCCAAAACCACGGTATTTATGATGTTGTTTCTTCTGCCAGCAAAAAACCACGGTATTTACAGTGTTTTTTGGACAGCACCGAGCAAAAACACTGGTATTTGCGCAGTTTTCGGCATGTTGCAAGAAGTTTTTTCCATGAAAAAAGTCACAAAAACAATGTATATAAATTACAGTGTTTGGGGTCTGATTTTAGGGTTTGTGACGGGGTGGCGGGTCCTGAAATGAACAGCAATCGCCTGAAGAAAATCAGATAACTGGGCTGGCCAGCATCCCCTTTACTTCGCAAAGCTAAACTCAAGGTAGCACCACTGGAGCTACCTTTCGTGACTTTGTAATTGGACATCTTCAAAACTTGGAACGAAATTCACAACTGGTCTTTTGCAATTGTCCCAAGCCTTTTACGAATCCCATCCCCAACTTTTCCCCCGTCCCTAAGTGAACATATATAGAAGAGGGACGGGCTCTTCACATGTGTTTTTTGAACGTATGAACACACACACACATGTGTGTGTGTGCGTGTGAAGGGTAGCAAATGGTTCAGGAAAATCCTAAAGTGACCTACATTGTAGGTTTGTACGCTTCGCAGAACGGGGTAGCTGCCATCCAGGGGATAAGGTGGGTCCATCTACACAGGTGAACATCCAGGGGGCCTGGTGTTTGTCGATTCAACTATATAGTTTTCCAAAGAAGTTGCAAATCACCTGCTGTATTACTTCTGTATTCTTATGTATGGAAATCATTGAAAATCAAGGCGCGCCCAGTTTCCTTGTTTCGGCAATATCCCAAGGATCCCACATGTATCAAACAAAGGGGGGGCCATGTTGTTTCAACGGTTTTCAATCTATCCACATATACACGCAATCTATTTTTCCAGTTTATTTCCACCAAATTTAATTTGTACTACATCATATCTGGTGTTAGCTGCTGGTCATTCCAAAGGGATTGACAAAGTACACGCATTTCAGATGATCGGGGTCTGTATGGTTACATGGTTTACGGTGTATTGCAAGGGCAGGGTACCTGCATGTCCCAACAGTTACTCAAGAACTGAGTTTCGAATGTTTAGATGGAAAAACGTAAGGTGGAGTAGCTATGAAATCTATAGCTGGTGAGTGGTAACATCTCAATATATATGTTGGCGTGTCTTTCGTGACAAGAGGGTAGCCGAACATGCGCAGTATAAATGGGGTAACCACCCCACATGGGGATCCCCAGTACATATTCCGAATATGGGCCTCAAAATGAACAGATCCAATACTAAACCAGGGTTTCCTGGTAGGCGGTGTTCAAGATTTTATGGTCCATTTGTCTTACTCCGTTGTGCCATCCCTAGTGAGGCGTTTTCAGCCGCGGTTCGCATTGCTGGAGGCAAAGCATAACTCTCGGGCAGAGTTGCACATGCCAAGGTAATGCGGGCGAATAAACCCTGCTGTCGCTACACTTGGGATACTTGATGCCTGCTGAACCGATCTTAGCGGAACATAAGACTTCTACAGGGGTCGTTGTTGGTGGTTATTTTATTGGGATGGAAATTGCTTGCAACTTGGAGGGTGGTCATATGATGTGAGTGAACTCATTTCGTCATCACTGTGCTGAGCGGTCCATTTACTCCTCAACTGCAGCGGTCCGGCCGGTCGGGCGAGGGTCACATGGCAGTTTCTGAAGCTGGAAATGAGAAATACAGCTGGAAGAGTCACCTACCATAGGTTGCCCACATCTAAACATTCAGACATATACTTTCGATCCAAAAAAATAACCGGTCTACAGTACGTATTTGCATACCTACTACTGTATATCCATCTATATCCAAATTATATCATCCATATCCACATCGTGGCGGGTTGACCAGCCTGGATTATCCCTAATGATTGAAGCTTTGGTGGTATTACCCTCGGGTAAACGAACAGTTGACTATGGAAAACCACCATTTTGAATGGGCAAATCAACCAAAACATGGGCCATGTTCGATAGCTATAAAATCACAATCCTTAAAAACGATCAATCAACGTACTAAATGGCCATGTTCAATAGCAGACTGTTAGTTTACCAAATGCCACTCGCCAGGAAAGGTGCTCCCAGGCATGAGCCTCCTCCAAATTTCCTGCTTCCAGGGTTTCGGCCTCCTGTGGAGTGAGGTGCTTTTCTGCTTGCGACAAGGGTTCCCTCCGGTTATTTAACATAGCCATGGAAAAGGGTCATTCTATACATGATGAATGATGACAAAACATGATTTACCTAGTCAAATTGGTGATTTTGCAAATAGTTTTGCGTATAGCTACACATTGAATTACCAAAGGGCAACCGTTGAGAATGGTGATTTATGTGGAATATTAGTAATAACATTGTACATAATTAGAAAGCGCAACACCCAACATGATGTTTAGCTGTGTCTCAAATTTAATCTATACCCGCCATGGCAAATTTTGATGAGGAACATGAGGCTCTAAATCCAGTAAAAATGGTCATTTCCTAGTTTCAAACAAACCCATATGGAAATCAGTGGGGATCATGAAAACACTGGTAAGCGTGGAAAATAAACGTTTTGAGACCACCAACCAGTGACAAAATTGAAGCCTTCCCCCTAAAATGGGGGCTGCTGGGCTGCGGGGCTGCGATTCAAAACACTCCATGCGCCAAATTGTGGCATTGTTTCACAAGAAACGTTGCAGGTGTTTCCTCTGCAATTCACTCTGGTTGCCCTGTCAATGTTCCTTTAAACACCTACAGTAATGTCCTTGTCCAAAAATTGGGCCCAAATCCATGTTTCCAGCAGTCCATCACCGTCTTTGCCTGTAAAATCCGTTGTGTGCGGCAAACTCCATTGATGGATGACTGGTATTGTTTGGCTCATCCCGAAATCATCCAAGCTGAAGCCTGAGACATCTGGTATGGTCAAACTCTCAGCTCCTTCCCGAGGGCTACAAGGGCTTCCTCCAGCAACATGCAGGCAGCCGCAAGGCCTCTCGTCCCCTTTGGGGATATTTTTTTTGGATGAAATAACTCGCTTGGCTGCTGGGGGATGTATTTCATGGATATTTATATACCGGGTACCATCTGGTTATTTAACATAGCCATGGAAAATCACCATTTTTAATAGGTAAACCATCTATTTCTATGGGCCATTTTCCATGGCTATGTTCAATAACCAGAGGGTATCTATAGTTGGCTGCGGGTTGAATCATCAATCCGCTTAGCATCGCTGGGGAGCCTTCCTGTAACTGATCACCCACCAGTGGCCTTCTTTGGAGCCATACCTGCACCAAGACCAACAGGTGATCGTGACTTTTTGCACAAAAAATCACGGGCCAAAAGAAAAAAGTGATTTTGGGGATCGTGTATTATTGGTTTTGCACATTATTACTCATTATTTAAATACTTATTCCCTATAGGCTCAATTCATTCAACTTGGTTTTAATGATTTGATTTGTGCTGATGGTTGCGAGGTTGTTTTGATGTTCAATGGTTTATCTCAGTTTATCCTAATCTCACCCAGCCAAAAAGGAGATAAATTGGGACACTGGTCCCACATGTTGAGGCATACCATACCATCTATGATCATCTATGACTTCGTGGTGCTGGTTGAATGCCGTCAACTCCTACGAGAAGAAACCCCAAAACGATAGGTAAGCTGGCTTATAACTAAACCAACTGGGATTCATGGCAGATATCTCTAAATACTAAGAAAACCACACTACAATTGGACAGGGACCACATTGCAAGCATCATTGCTCTGCCAGCATGCCGCCTTTTTTGATCATTTTTGGGAGTGTCAGCTTTCATCAACTACTTCTATATCTTCTGGTAATCAAACAGAAGGCAAATGACCATGCCGGTTCATGGGATTTTCCCATCAAAAAGATCCCAATGAATTTGGGGATGTGGCTTTCCCAACCGGCCATTCGCATACCGGGTAAACCAGTCTAGGCCCAACCGGCCCCTCCAAGGCCATTCGCAGCTCTCCAGCTGCCAGCACCTGGTTTGAGCAGTCTAGCATCATGCAATAAACATCTCATGTCTATATATATATGTATCTATTAAAAAAAACACATGGAGCCAGCAATTTACAGTACTACACATAGAGCAATTAAGTTTGTTTTGCCAAATTAGATGGACTCTTCATCAAAAAAAGAAATAACAACACATTGAAACTTGGATGACATGATAAAGGCAACACGTTTTTTGGGACCAAACCCAACAGGTATCTGGCAGACATTTCATGAGTGTTTTTGTTCAAACACCTGAGCGCACAAGTTCCTACCACAAGTAGTTTGAACTACCCTCTCTCTACAGTACTGGCATTTTTCTTTCTTGGATTTTTCTCATCTCTCTCTTCAACTGGCAATGAAATTGCTAGATACTGGGCCTTTGTAAGCGGGGTCTTTCCCCAAAAAGACCTTGGAACCTTGGAAAGCCCCCCGGTGACGGCCGCTTGGGCGGTGACAAGCAAGGTCTTGAGCCGCGAAAGTCCTTCGGCCTTGTTGTTCGGCCGCATCCTCGGCAGAAATCATTGGGGGCTTAGGCATGGCAAAGAATTTTATTTCAATTATACCCACGGCCCATGTATTTGCATGTATATACTTGATGGTCTGACATGAAATATATATCTACATCTTTAATATTCTTGCTGGCAGAATGCTGGCAGTATATGAATGAAAAAAACAGCGCAACATGAAACTCATGGTGTTTCTGGGGTTCAGGGGCAACCAAGAAACAATTGTACTGTGCGGGTGGGCCTTTTACGCTTACAACATTTCATTTGAAAGCGCGTGCTTCTCTTTTGGCAGCTATGAGTTGCAGCTGCAGCTTAAACAATGCAAGACAAACCGACTTCAATACAGCTCACAATAGATGGCCTTGGATTTGCTAGGTCCAAACAAATAAAGACAAACAAAACATAACAAAACATATTCCCCTTCTTATCGTTAGCCAGTGGGATCCTTGAACAAAATAATCATCTTCCGCAAATCCAGCAGGTTCTTATGCCAGCTATGGCCAGCTCATCAACCAAAGTTCATCAACCTGAAGTGCCAACATTTTATCAGCTCTTCAAGTGGATACTGAACGGTGGACGGTGGTCGAAATTCTCTGGAATGTTGGAGGTTTCTAGTCGCTGTATCGAAAATCGCATGATTGTTGTTGATAAAGTCGGAACATATTGCTACAATGAAGGGGAAAACATTCTCTTAGTCAATCATTCAACCACCAACAGTCACTCATTATCACTCATTCAGCATATTCTGTACGAAGCCGGCAATCTGCTCGAACGCCCTCTGATGTGAAGGGTCATGGAAGACTGGTAGCAAGAGCGCGTCGTGAAAGCCTGGCGATGGGTGCTGGATGGCACATCCAGTGATGGCACATGGCATATCTACCTGCCGCCTCCCCAGAAAAAAACACCCATATAAAGTAGGTAGAGAATGATAGATATGCTATACCTGGATGGCAGCTTGTAAATGACATTTAGTGCTGTCCAGAATAACCCAAGTGCCATAGGGATAAATAGGGAATGATGGGCAGATTGATCGACGGAGATCCTGACAAAGGGTCACAGAGATACCAACCGACCAACAAACAAACATGCAAAATCATATGCAGTAAATACGTTCGATGCAAAATAGATGGACGCACAAAACAGAAACAAACCAACAGACTATAAATATCTGTATAAAGTAATAGTTATCATATGAGTTATATTGATATTATTGATTTATGATCACTTTTGTAGGATATAATACTGTTCTAATGATGTCGGGGTTTGCCATACATCTCATCTGGCCATGCCCTTGGCCTGCGACTTCCAGATACTGCACCGTAGCCAGCTGAGCGAAGCGTTTGGCGTCGCTCTGTACCAGATCCAAATCGCAGGACACGACCATGACTTTCGAATCTCCTTAGAGTCCCGAAGAGACATATACCTCTTTGGGTAAACAAAGATAGCAGGAAATCCATGGAAATCCTCTGAGAAATATGGAGGTTTTTATGTTTTTGATAGGAAAGTCAAGTCTAAATGAGGGATTTTCCATTGCAACGTTTGATCACCGGAGGGTAAGTAGCAACTTTTGGGAGATGGGACCAATATTGCAAATAGTTATAAAAAGTGGAAGTTCAAGATACTTTAAGCAGCTCAAATTGTGATACAACTCTTTATGAGTGTCCAGCAATTTTTGAAGCTAATCACCTGGCCAATTGGGAGTTCCGTCAACAGCGGGTATACTAATCACTGGCATGCATCCCAGTATATAATAGTATATACTGGAACTGGACCAAAGAATGTAGCTGGCAAACTGAGAAAAATACAACACAACTAGAAATGACCACTTGGATATGCGGTATATAAATTGGTTCTTACTGGCATCTGGCCCATCTGGCTGAGCAACTGAAGCCGGCAGGGATGCACAGCCAGCAGGGGCAAGTGACTTTCAGGGACGGTTTCTACCACCCACTATAGCAACTAATGGTGATGTTGGGGATTGTTTTCTGTTGGGTTTACCGGTTTACCACACTATGAACATCTACAATCAGGAGTTTGACCAAGTAAATTGCTGACAGGGCAAGTTTTAAGGGAATTAGGACCAGCCAACTGCAACTACTTGAGATTTAGTGGGAATCATATCAGAATAAGTCGCACCAGGTGGGCCATTTGAATGTGCATTGTCACTGTGTAGATTATATTAAATATTATTGGATAGCCTATCTGTGTTATACCGGTGGGTCTAAGCCAATTGGACATAGCTATATCGGTTGAATTTTTTGACCCATACCTACATCCCATTGGTTCACAACCAGCGGTACCGATCCAGGTTGAGGATTGGCAAACGGAGCAGGTAAAATGTAACAATTGGAAGAGTTGCACAGTTATCATAATTTCAGCAAGTGAAGGACTGATACAAATATATATATATATATATACAATATAATACCATAATATACCATAATCATCAAAAACATATATATTATCATAAGCAACCAAACAACATGTTTTGCGTCTTTAACCCGTCAAAACAACGTGTTCAAGCCAGGCGGAGACTAAAAACCTTCAATCAAAAAGGAGTTGGAAAGTGAATCATTAGTTGCATGAATTTCCAATCATTCATTAATTCATTATATTCATTGTATATTTCATTGTTTTGAGCGTTGATTGATTGTGGGTTAGGACTTGCTGGACCCTTAAGTCTTCCAAACCACATCTTTGATGGGGGCGTTCAGGTCTTGTCAAAGATGTCAAAGGGCAAAACACCATGTTTGAAACCCTCATGACGGGATCACAAAACGTCCGTTTTCAACGGAAAATTCTGACCCCCATGGATTTCCATGGTTTGATGTTCCGCCGGGTTTACACCCCAGCGTCGCAACTTCTGTTGCTGCGAGGGTGTCAAAGCAAAGCACAAGGACCACTTCCTTGGTCAAATGGCTCCCAAGCACACCCTGAAAGGTGACCGTAACCCACGTTGCGCTTTGTGAATTTGAAGGTTCCATTTTGGAGAACACATCAGAAGCAAGGTCCGTACAAAGAAAAACGGGCACCATCATTTTCAGGATATGTCTTGATTGGTGAACATTCATGGGAAAACATGCGTAGAATTCATCAGAAGTACTGCTGGGCTGTCACTGAAACAAAGCAGTAAAATCATCATCAAAATTGATACTATTCCACACGGGATTGTAGTGGCGCCAGACTTCCCAACTCACTATTCACAGTTGAATTTCCAACCCGGCCACTTCCGGAAAGTCATCTTCCAGCTTCCAAACAATATACCCTCTGCTAGTCAAACGTGGCAACTGAAAATCCCCCCGTTCTGGATTATAGTTGTCCATTGTACTATATATCTGCAGTACCCCTAAAAAAGGCAGGAAACAACATCTACCACTATTTTGGTAGGACTTTTTTCCATTGCCATCCGGACTTTACTTTATTTTACTGTCCTATATTTTTGTTGGGGGGGTGCTATACATGTGAGCAGTTTTCAAAACCCTCCGTAGTCTGTCGTCCCTTTCTGCTGCCCGGTTGATAGGGATTCCCATCATGGATTCTGATGATCCCAATATATTGGTTAGTATAATCACTAAACTCAACATCAACCAACCATCACTTACTAGTTACCTCCAGCTATATCCTCATACTGATACTCATATTTCGGTATATTGTGCTGGTTAAAATCAATGTTGAATGACTATAATTATAATCATCAACCTAATGGGTTGTGATATTCTCTACTACTGTACATTGGTCCGTATAATCAACATGAATCCCATAATCATAATATAATGTCCCACATGTTCCCTATTATCATCATCAACCAACACATATTGGCTAGTACAATCCGCTAACTACTCAATCAACCATCACTTATTAGTTGTATCCACTTATATCCGCTTATATCAACTTATATCCTTATATTTTGCTAGTTAAGATCCATATGAACCGGGGAAAGGGAGAAATTCCTTTGGCTATTCAGCCAGGGCTCTTGGCTACCTCCAAGTCAGCAGAGCCAAGGAATTCATCTCGGGCGGCCTGGTGGAACAAACGGCCTGGAGGATCTTCCAAGAAACATGGAGATGATTAACGAAGAAAACCATGGGAATTTCATGGGATGTAGAACTGATTTATGATAGCTCAAATATACTAAAATGGGATTTCATGGGATATAAAATGGGTATTCGGAAGATCACACCCATAGATTGTAACTGCTTCGTGTTTGTGGAGTACCCAGTTCTTCACCAGCTACTTTCCTCCAGGGATGATCCTCCAAGTATTAGGCCCCAGCAAACTTTGCTTAGAACCCTACGGCCTAATATTTAAACCAAAATGAATCCCATCTTTGGGGTTTCTTCTTTGTCATTTCGGCAGTGTTTTCGAGGGTGTTTTTCTGTTTTCGTGCGATAAACTCAAATCCCATTCTAATCCATTCCCCTGGCACATCAATATACCCTCTGGTAAACATACAAAAACTATTGAAAATGGCCATAGAAAAAATGAATTTACCCATGAAAAATGGTGGATCTTTCCATAGTTACGTAAACGTTTACCAGAGGGTAACAAACATGGAAGGCTAAGGATGCCTCAACCACAAGGCCATCTTTTGAGGTCAGACGCAGTTCAAACACCAGATCTAGTTCGCATCTAGATAAATACATGTAGATAAATGATAGTTTCACATATAATCACATATATCACCATCCAACACTGTATGTACCTCAGGCTGAGTGGATAGTAACTAGTAACCATCAAAAATAATGCAGTGACATGTATATCTGCCTAACCTAGTTATATATATTATATATATACACCCAAAAAATATAATTTCGTCATATTACGTAGTTAACATATATACATATATAATTATATATATAGTGTACACACTATATATTTATATTACATGGGATTTTGTCGAACATACAAGTACCATGTTTTTTTCCAAGGCATCTACGGAGCCCGTCCTCCAGCCATCGTTGCTGCAGAAAGCATCGTGCGTCACGATGCGATGCGCCGCTGAAGGTGAAGTCCAGCCAAGGACACAGTGCCACACCGCCCAGGACACCTGGACAAAAACAAAGCACCACCAAAATAGTTTCAGTAGATAGATATGATAAGTAAATATATATATATATATATATATTGTGATATATTATACATGTAATTAGTGGTATCTATGTGGTTAGTCCCTGTGTACCCAATGGCAGTGCCAAAGCCTCCATGTTTTGAGTTACCTCATGGTCGGGGCACTTCCAGCAGATGCCAGCAGTTGGAAACCATGCGTACCCGGTAATCAAACGTGGCTAGCTGGAAAATCCCTATTTAAAAAAAATGGTTTCAATAGGTTTCAAGGTTTCAATGGGAAGATAATCTATAAATGAGAATTCTTCGATTGCCACCTTGACTACCAGATCAACTGTCCCAATGGATTGATCCCTTGGTGACTTGGTGATTGAAATGGCAACATCTTGTGTTGCCAAATTGCGAACCTGCATGACGATCCAAGTGTGGAACATCTCCAAACAGGAAATCGACTAGAATGAAGCCTGAAGTGAACCAAGTGTAAGCCACGCTATTTTTGATGTTAACCTAGTAGACTTCTAGATTCTCTAAATTATCGTGACTAGAATGTTAAACTAGTCTAATGAATTTAACTTTCGAACACGCAGCGCGCTCAAGCGTAGCATATGTGCGATGATGTAACATCAAATAAGGGAAACTTAGAAACATTGCTTGAGAGCATCTGCCACCAAACAATAAGAATCAGTGACTTCCACCAAAAAACAAGCCCTGTGCCGGGAACGGCCACAGAGGTGGTGTCCCCTCAATAAAAAGTTGATATATAAGATGCCCGTCAAACTATGGCTATCTCATGATGATCATTCTATACCCTCTAGTAAACTAACATAACTATGGAAAATCACCATGTTTAATGGGAAAATCCACTATAAATGGCCATTTTCAATAGCTATGTTAAATTACCAGAGGGTATCTAGTTATAAATCAATGTGGATCCAATGTAGCCCAGGATTTGGGGGCACCATCTTGCAAAAGAATGTATTGGCGGTTCTACATCCCACATTGTTGGTGGAGTATATCATATCTCATTATACCCCCGGTTATACCCCCCACATCCCCCCACCATATCCACATATCCTGGTTGGTTTAACGGTTTAACCATGTTAACCCATATGAAAAAACACTCAGTACCTCTGACCGACCCATTGGTAAACAGACTCCCATTGTTGCTGATTATATAAGCCCACTGAACCCCATGACAATCCAATGGTAATCCCATTCTTGGGACAACTAAACATCCTATGTTTGATACCGTAATCCCATTACCCTTTGGTCATTTAATGGAAAATCACATGTTTTTTACTTACTAAAAGTAGGTAAAGTATATCAAACTAAATGGGCAATGGCTTTCATAGCAAACTATCAAATTACTGGAGGGTAATGGCTGGCATGACGGGTTTGTAAATGGTTGGCATCACTGGTTATCAAATGTTATAGGATAGATGGGAAAATCAACAAAACTCCATTACTAAATCCCAGATGTCTGAAATAGATATAGATATGTATCGATGGTGTTTCCTCCGCCATTTCAAGGCTTCCAACTCTTCTATCTATGACTGGGGATTACAGTACTATCATCCAATCTCATTAATGCCAGCAATCACCCTGAAGTAGATTGACTGACTATGGACAATTCAAACATATTATAGTTTTAGTCTTTTAAGTGACTTGTTTCGAACATGTCCATATCCCATCATACTTTGTCTATTCCAAAATGATTATGCACGTCCCCACTATATTATATCCCATTACGCTCCCAGTACACCATACCATCTGATGGTTAAATCACACTATTCTTCAGATTATTCCAAATTAATCCCAGAATGATTATACATATCCCCATCATCCTGTTAATGCATGTCAATCTGGCTGAATGTGTTACATGTTACTAATCCGAAAAAAGCTGTTATCATGCAGCCTTTTATGGATGATTCCCTGGATTCAATTTTCATTCCAGTGACGTCACGAAGTGAGGTAATGATAAATTTCATCCAGAGTAACAGAGTAACGATTACATCACTATTCCCATCATCCCATAAATCAATATTAATCAACAAACTCAATGAAAAAAATCGCACTTGCAAGTGCAGTTCAAGTTACAAGTGGATATATAAGCATAGCTATTGAGCTGCTCAGGGGTCCATATTCCCACTTATGGGGTTGAAATATCATGGCTATATGGTTATATCCATAAGTGACCCCAACTGCACCCCAAAGCAGGTACTACCAACAACATTCTATGGCTACCACTGGTTGATGATCATGGTTGGCCATTCATACATCCCAAATTAATCCACAAAATCTGTTTAAAAGATGAATATTATTGATATTACTCCCATTCATGCTGGTCATCCAAAAAAAAAAACACCAAATCCAGCCACTCGATAACCAGGGCCCAGGGTCAATCCAATTCCCTGTGAAATCCTCCATTTCGACATATTTCGATCATGACTTTCCCATCGTTCTATCCCACCAAGGTCGACCCCTGGTGACCCCGGCGCCTGGCATGTCCGCCAGCAAGGCTTGGATGCACATGTAGCCGCCCGCGGAGTCGCCAGAAAGAATCACCCGGCAGCCTGCGACATTTTACACCCGGCTGGACATGCAGAAATCTGTGGGGAATCCTATGGCTTTTCCTAACTTTTCCTTGCGGATAAAGCCACGACGATTACGCCAAGTCACAATGGCAATGTGTTGATATGTATTGTTAAAAAAATAAATTAATACATATAATATATATATATACATAATTAAAAACATCACGCTACATATATTATAACTGTTTATAATTAATTATATAAACACACAATTACAAGTGGAAGCCGTGAAAACATGGCTGCTGCATGTCCCATGAGATCAAAATTTTGTAGTTAGGATAGGAGGTCACTAAGAATCATTCGATTTTGCTGGGTTGGTATAAGAGAAAGTCTTAAGCAGAAACCATGGTTTTTGCCAGTAATTATCGGTGTTTCCGATGTTTTCCTGCAAATATCCCATGCTGGGAAACAGTCATGGAGGATCATTCTGGATGTGGGACGTGACTTCTGTGGACGGAAGACACAGCCGTGACTCTTCAACGCGGGTCAAAATATGCTGACGCGAACACAGCTTGATGATTTCAAAGATCAGCACAGGTGAAAATTTGGATCAAAGATTATGCCATCATCATTGCCCTGCAGAAAAATCTTTGAAATCATCAATGTGTGGCGCATGATATCAGCCAAATGAGTTCCAACGAGTACGGACTGGGTACAGTGACATGATATCGATGGCATCCACACGTGGCACAACTCCACCCCCATAGCTATAGGGTTATACCCGCCAGTGATTGTTGGTTTATAATCCTCATCAAATATAGCTATAACATGATATAACCTATACGACCTATATCAACCTATACATAAACCCACATGTTACTAGAGTTCTTTGCACCAACTTAGCTAACGACTTGGGGCACCACCCCATTTCTTTCCTGGTCAAACCATCAGGGTCAAGCCGGTCCACCTTGAGATTTCAGCCACTGCACGGCTGCTCGCACTTGCTGTAGGGTGGTGGAAGGATTGGTTGGTAAGGAGTATTTCAGCTCCTGCGTTGCGCGAAAATGCTGGGAGCTTGAAGGAAACATATGCAGGAATATGCAGGACAAAAATGTGGGAAAACCGCCGGAAAGCATTCGGCAACCATGCACACACACAAAAAAAACACATATAGCACGCTCATAAGTACTTCATTTGAATATCCCTATATATGTGCCAAAAAACAAATCAGCTTGACTGGTGAATTTCCCGCGTCCAAGGATGTCATTGTGATGTTTAAGTTATGCCTTGATGGGTTTATCTGCCAAGCTGCAGCGATACCCCCCGGACACTCATTCCTGAAGGATTTCCGGCCATGGCGAGGTAAGTGGGTGTTGCTGATGCCCTCGCTATCCATAAATACCTTTTGATGAAAGTTTAAGCGTTGAGCCGGTGAGCTGGATATAATATTCCCCAACTCAAATGGCTAGCACACACCAAGAAAAAACTAACTCCAAATAGGTGGAAGCTTCCAGGTTTTCTGTTGGGTCCTACCGGCCCGATTTACAGTAAGTGGATCTGTGCACCTTTTGGGGTCCCATTTAAAATAGGCTGTTTTTTTTTTTGCGGGGGGAGGGGGGAGGGGGGATTGCACTGGCATTGTCATGACTGTCATTATACACATACACACACGTATAACACACCCACAAAGAGAGAGGGAGAGAGAGAGATACACGCACACAGACATACATACATACTTACATTACATTACATTACATTACATACATTACATACATACATTACATACATACATTACATACATACATTACATACATACATTACATACATACATTACATACATTACATACATACATACATACAGTACATTACATTACATTACATTACATTACATTACATTACATTACATTACATTACATTACATACATACATTACATTACATACATACATACATACATACATACATTACATACATTACATACATTACATACATACATACATACATACATACATACATACATACATACATACATACATTAATTACATTACATTACAAATTTATTACATTACATACATACATACATACATACATTACATACATTACATACATTACATACATTACATACATTACATACATTACATACATTACATACATTACATACATTACATTACATACATTACATACATTACATACATTACATCCATTACATACATTACATCCATTACATCCATTACATCCATTACATCCATACACACACCATACATATACATACATATTACATCATACTTCAATACATTACAATAATACATCCATACATACATGATCATACATACATACATACATACATACATACCTACATACATTCCATTAACTTAAATTACAGGTACTGATAACATTACATTACATTACATTACAGTACAATACATACAGTTACATACATACATACTACATACATACATACAAAACAGGACAATACATACCTACATACATACATACATACATCACAGTGGGGGAATACATGAAGGGAGAAAAACAAATACATACCATACATATATACTAGTATACATACTCCAATACATGGACATACATTACCCTACATATACAGTGTGACATACACGGGAATACTATCATACATGATACATGCCCTACCATACATTACATACATTACATACTATACACTACATTACATACAATTACATACATACATTACATACATACATACATTACATACATAAATTACATACATACATTACATACATACATTACATACATACATTACATACATACATACATACATACATTACATACATACATACATACATACATAAATACATACATACATACATACATACATACATACATACATATATTTATATATATATATATCATACTTATCACCCACAAATATACACAGCTGACGTGGAGTTCATACTACTGAATCAAAAAGTAGCCCCTTTCAGCATCCAATGACCAAGGTTCAATTAATCCCTGGCTTGGCTGAACCCCTAGTCGAATTGCTTAAACTCCACATTCTCGCCATTCTCATAGCTTTTAGCCTCTTGGTACTCAAACATAGCAATGGAAAATTCCCAAATTATAGCGCATTTTCCCCTTGAAACCTCGATTTCCAGGAATTTCCCCAGTCGCGTCTCCAGAACCCTCGGCACGGCGGCTGCCGTCGTCGCCAACTGCGGCAGGAGACGACGTGCAAAGAGCCACCCCGTGGGCTGCTGGGCCAAAAAGGCACCGCCCGGAAGCCAAAGCAGGACAGTCCTGCGATGAGTAGAAAACCAGGTTTAATCAACAAAAAATGCTGCTTGAATGGGATTTAGGCAGCAAAAAGTATAAGATTTCAATAGAGATATACTGGGACAATGATGGGATAATAATGGGATAATAATGGGATAATGGAGGTTTCTTAAGTGATGTGGGGGTACCCCCAAGTCATCCAAGTCATGGATGACCATGACTTAGGATTGAAATCTATGGTGACGGGATCCTCCATGTTTAAGCAAGCCCCAAATGGGGTATAGACATGTTGTGATGGCCCGATTTGAAGGACCAGCTCGTCATCCAAGGACCTGGTCCAGGTCGCAACCTGTTCAAATGACCAGAGAGTAGAACATGTTCCCACTGACAATTTGCGAACGTAAAGGATCATCCAGCCATCAACCAACCTCTTCATTTTTGGATTCTATTTTTTCCAATTAATTATCCATACTTATTCTATTTGTTTCAGTTGATTGTCCATATTCATATTTGGCGATGTGGAAAAATGGTGCAGATTCAAGGGTCTCAAACACTTTGCCACATTGTCCAGTTTCACCATCTATGGAGGTATAGCTTTGAGCCATTCCTCATAGGAGCCGGCGCACCAAAGAGCTAATCGCTGCGGCAATGGCGTCCTCTCATCCACCTCGTGGCCCTTCAAGCACCACCATGCGGCATCCAGCGGCCTATCCGCCAAAATCTGGACCCAACGGCAGGAGAGGCAGCCGAAGTCAGATCCTGACCGTGGAAAAGGTTGGAGGATACCCTCCGTTTGGGGGACCTGCAGTTGAGGTGATTCTTATGGGAAACCATGGTAACCGCTAGAAATAAATTGGGATAAAACAAACCCCTACAATTATGGCCATATGGCCATATCATATAGCTATACTTATTATGTGCAAATGGCAATTCCCCATGTGGGAAAACAAAGAGGAACATCATCTATACACGGTGAATCTTCATGGATGTCCGTTGCCACGTAAACCTGGGCGCTTTGTTGATCTCCTACTATATTCCATCCAGTGTAACAGACCCACTGGATCTCGCCAGCCTATGTTTGGGACAAGACCACTTGCCCCAATGCTCCATGTATGGAATAGCTTCCAACATTTACCCCCAAAATGACCCAAATGTAGGTAAATATTCCATACAAAGAGATGCGGGAAAAAAAACTGACTATGTAGTGGCTATAGCGCCTAATTCGTACATCATATGGGCTCTTTGTGGCTTGCATAGTGAATAAATAAATATATATATATACACATAAATGTCTACTGTGTCGTCAACATGATGAGCCCAACCCTTGGCATTCCATCACTGAAGACCTTGAGGGTCCATCCACGATTCCATCCCTGAACATAGGCCTTGGGATATCACAGGGTGGTACCCCCGCATTGATGTTTGTTGGTGTATAATCTCTGTTTACTATGGATATACTGTAAGTTCAATGTGGGATTGGGGGCATGTGCCAACTTTTGGGAAAAGCTTTACACTCAAAGGCAAACACGCACACAAACACGCATATTATCATATATAAATATACACATCTAAAACTGTATCTATCCCCGTCTAAATGTACAGTGATCAGCTTTTAAATCCATAAACATATATATATATATATATGGAAAAACAAAATTATTTATGTATGTATGTATGTATGTATGTATGTATGTCTCTCTGTCTGTCTGTCTGTCTGTCTGTCTGTATGTATGTATGTATGTATGTATGTATGTACGTCAACACGTATGTATGTATGTACGTATGTACGTACGTATGTACGTGTGTACGTGTGTACGTGTGTACGTGTGTACGCCTGTAGGTGTGTACGTGTGTGTGTATGTATGTATGTATGTATGTATGTATGTATGTATGGTATGGTATGGTATGGTATGGTATGGTATGGTAAGGTATGGTACAAGTATATGGTATATGGTATGGTATATGGTATGGTATATGGTTTGGTATATGGTATGGCATATGGTATGGTATATGGTATGGTATGGTATATGGTATGGTATGTGTATGTATGTGTATGTATGTATGTGTATGTATGTATGTGCATGTATGTATGTGTATCTATGTATGTGTATGTATGTATGTGTATGTATGTGTATGTATGTATGTGTATGTATGTATGTGCATGTATGTATGTGTATGTATGTATGTGTATGTATGTATGTATGTATGTGTGTGTGTATGTGTATGTATGTGTATGTATGTGTATGTATGTGTATGTATGTATGTGTATGTATGTGTATGTATGTATGTGTATGTATGTATGTATGTGTATGTATGTGTATATATGTATGTGTATGTATGTATGTGTATGTATGTATGTGTATGTATGTGTATGTATGTATGTGTATGTATGTATGTGTGTGTATGTATGTATGCATGTATGTATGTGTATGTATGTATGTGTGTATGTATGTATGTATGTATGTGTGATTATGTATGATTATGTATGTGTATGTATGTGTATGTATGATTATGTATGATTATGTATGTATGTATGTATGATTATGTATGATTATGTATGTATGTATGTTTGTATGTATATGTAAACAACATTTGTGCATAGGTATATATATATAAATATATGTTTAAAAAACAAAATAAATAAAAACATAAATAAATACATAAATAAATCAATAAATAAATAAATATACATGTGTTCAAAATTACATACGTACATATAGATGAAACAGTGTGTATATATATATATATGTTATACATATTTCTATATGGATGCATTCATATATATACACACACATATATATATATGTATTATAAGCAGTGAAAAAATGATGGGTTTCTTGTCGTTTGTTGGGGCCCTCATCACTGCGGTCCTGGCACACTGTCCCACAAACGCAGGAGCAGTCTCCTCAGTTTGGCCCAAATCAACATGGCAACTGGCGACCCAGTTTGGCATAGCTATGTTTTTTGGTGCAGACTTCCATGTAGCGTGGCATATTCAATAATGAACTTCACATGTGGAGATGATTTTCACCAACTGGTTTACCTGGGGCTCACCACATTCAAGCTTCGTCGGAGACATTTTTTCACAAAATAGCCCGAAGAATAAAAGTTTGCGTTGAATACACAGCTACTACATTCATGGACAAATTATGGTATGATTATTAACACGTTCCGTACATTTTGATGCATTTGTGCACAGCCTGTTGAAATTCTATCAGTTACCTTCCTGTAAACTAACTAACATTTCATTAATATGGAAAACACACCATTTGTAGATCATGTTCCTGGGAAAAAATCGGCTTTTTCAACATCTGTTTGGAGCAGTTTACCCGCGGATTCCTACGTGATAACTTAACATGGTAAACATTGGTAAACCCATGTTCCATGAACCACCCATGTGGGGATGGTATGAATACCACCCAAGTAAAGGCAGATAAAGGGGATGGTTTATACAATTGGCTTTACAACATGACTGGGGTTCATCATCCCAGAGAGGGAATGAAATCGTGGAACCTTTCAACCAAATCCATGATCCAATGCCTTACTTTTTTCATGGGCACACCACCTAACAGGGATTCCTGCCCCTGGGTACCAGCTGGGTTTTGCACAGCAGCATCATATTCAGTAAAAGTATAGTTTAAACAGCTTGGTAACTAACAAGTTGACAAAATAAACAATACAACGACTGCTGCACCATATCATTCAGATAGAATCTGTGCAGGATGAACCAATTCATCAAGTATTGTTGCCGGTAGAAATGCTTGCTTGACCTTGTCTATTTTGGGGATTCAAAACCATGGGTTTCAGCACTATAACGTTCTAGTTTCGGATGAAATTTGGGGGTACTCCCATGACTGAGGAAACCTCCATTTGTTTGCATCATTACTATTGGTTCGGTTCCAAGCAATGCCAATTATTGCTTGCCAGAGCGCACTGATGTAGTGAACAAGTCCTGACGGTTGTGCGGTCGGAGTTGGGATGATGTTGTAGACAATAGCTGCACTGAGGGCAACGGATACCAACGGATATCACCTGACCAACAACTTTCAAGAATTCAGAATGATTTACAGTACATCACTAAAATCAACTCAACATGGAACCCCACTATTCTGCGAACTACAAATATCATCTTCCACCAAACCAAACTTGTTTGTGCTTTAATGCTATCTTTCAGGCTAAACGTGTCAGCAAAAACAAGCTGTGGTCGTGGCTATGTTCCCTTGGCATAAAGGGGCTCCCATCTATGCCCAAGGGCAGTCTTGAGGGATTTGACGCCTCCGAAATGGGGTAATTCATGATCATTCATGTGCATGCACATGGGACAAAATCACATACCCAATCGGCACCAAAGAGTTTGTTTAATTCTATTTAATACTTACCCCTGGTAATTTAACATAGCTATATTGAACATGGTTCATGTATAGTTGATTTGCCTATTAATCATGGCCATTTGTCGTAGCAAACTGTTTGTTTACCAGAGGGTAACACATTGAAATCTTTTGAGGAACGCATATACGGTGGATCGCATCTCTTCTATGTTAGGTGGTGAGGATTCCTGTAAAAAAAAAACATGGGCCTGACATAGCCACCTGGCCGCTCTTTCCTCGATGAACTGATGCAGGGAAAAAGAAATGCACTAGATATCATACCCATCAATTAGATAAAAAGTCATGGCCAATAGTGTATCATATAAGAAGTCATGGCCAATAGTGTATCATATCCCTAATATTGTATGATTTGTCCAAAACCAATGCTGGGATTTTGAGAAGCACTGCTTTTTGAATCACTTAGCCAAAGCGTTCGGCTGCAAAAATAGTCTGCAAAAAGTCTCAGCCGGGTTTCCTGTCAACGACCCCTCGACACCGCCAGCACCACGCGTTCAAAAAAAGTGAGCAAATTCTCCCAAAAATATGTGGGATGACATTGGTCGTTTATGATCATCATCCGGTTTTGGGGTATGGATTTGTTTAAACATTTGAAGCCACCAGCCGGATTGGGTATGAACCAGCAAAGCGGATGCAACTTCGGGTTACAACCAGCAAGCGCTTCTACTGCTCTATAGCCGGGGCACACACACATATGGCACCCGTATACATATAGACACACATGCTATGCACAGAATTTTGATACACGTGCAGACACATAAATACACTACATTACACCACAGTACATTGCATTGTATTACCTTACATGTCATTACACACGCGCAAAAATGCATACTGGTTTAAACACACCTAACATGTAATATATGGTGTGTATATATATATATATATGTGGTATATATTAATTGGATATTATATAATTGGTATATGTTGTTCCAGGTATCCAATCTACAATATCCACCAACATCCAGCAACATCACCATATGGATGACCATCCCGCAAGAACTAGCAACCAAGGAGTCGTTGATGCAGGGGGCCCCGGGCCCATGGTCCTTTCCAATGCGGTGGCCATGGGAAGACTTGTTGTACCATGTACCCAAGGATTGTTGGCGAAGCGCTTCTTTTTTAGACAGAATAAGCGCTTCTCGGTCAGAGCTGTATTTTTTTTAGACATAACTCGAGGGGTTGAAGTATCAAGAAATTGGAATATGTCACAGAGATTGGAGTAGACTATAATGATGCGACTGTCATTGTTCTTGAATGTTCTTCATCAATGGGTGGTACAAACACCCAAATTCAGTTTGCGGTTCCACATGAATTTGGGAGTTTGTTTTTCTGTAGTTTGTTGTCATCATTTTTTGTCGAGCATCCACTATTTTCAGCTGTCCAACATCTGGGTAGGTCTGGCACAT